AAACTGCAACAGCGTGTATTTCGGTGTTGTATACACGGCCATTCCTTTCTTGAGCATTTTGATACGATGATGAACGTAATCAATCCAGAGTATGCCCAGTGGTGATGGCATTCGCTGATACAATTGTCGATTATTTCGATCGTCCTGCTCCTCTTGGGTGAACTGCTTCGTCCATCGTTTTGCCTTTACATCGCGCGTCTTCTGCTTTGCCAGCCAATGGTACTTCTTACTGGACGTTTTCATGTTGACCTGAAATGGAAAAGTGAAGAAAAAATTATTCACGTAACTGTATCACTTTCTATTTCTCAATAATGCCAAAAATTTAAACACTCACTTCTTTCTTTGTTTCGATATTTCGACGAACTGTGGCATTCCATGTTTTCATGCCTGGATCGATTCCCAGTTCGTAAGCAAATTTTCCGCCGATGAATTGCTTTCGAAGAATATCATCATTCTGCATCTGTTGCTCGTATTGCTTTGACATGCGATACATAATCGACACAGATTCACCGTTGCTGACGATGGTATAATGGAATTCTTTGTTTTTCTTCAGTTTTCGATTGATGGTCGTTAAATCGAATACTTGATTCCAATAGAATTCTTTGTTCTGGCGAATGTAACTTTCGGTTGCTTGTCTACCATCAACTTGTGGAAGTTGTTTCGATTCGGCCAGCATTCGATAGAAGACATCATTGCACATGAACACTGCCTTTCGTTGATAATCAGGCAATGGAACAACCGAGAGATTTTTGATATTTGGTATCTTCACATTGTTATCTTGCGCCCAATTGTGCCACTCATCGATTTCTGTCTGCATAACGAGCCACATTGCAGTTGCTTTGAACCAATAATCGCCTTTTGAAAAATCCTTGATGTTGTGATCATTGGTTGGGCCACCAACTTCTCGCACAATTGCAGTAACCATGCCAGTAAGTAATGTTCGCTTGTGTCGTTTGAAATCTGCATTTTGATGAGTGTCACGGATCGCATTGTAGCCTCGAATCATCAAATCGACTGCATTGTCAATGTCCTTCTTGTCGAATTTCCAACCGGTAGACACTGCGTTGAATTGCCACGCTCGCATTCGCAGATAGTTTTTCAACTTCTTCTTGCAGTGTGTCGTTTGACCGGTTTTCAAGCATCGCGTGTGATTTTGGCACAGCGTTTTAAAATGATTACCAAAATAATCGTTCTTGGGCCAGGCGAAATTATTTTCTGGACTGAGCTCTTCGACAAACTGACGGAAATGTGGCTCCATATTCTCACCTTCTTTGTTTTTTTGCAAGACGGCATAGAAACATTGCTCTATCACTTCCTCGCCACGATTCTTTTCAACGAGCTGTCCTTTCTTCTTTCCTTTTTTGGCCGGATACGTTCGGTTTTTAAAAAACTCCCACTGTCGATTCATTTGTGCCGATTTCACTTTATCCAAGAAAAGTAATGATGCCAAAACGGTGATTTTCGTTGACATTATGCTTTTCTGTTCGATCCACGGTTTGACAATGTGATTGAACTCTGGTCGTAAAATTGTGTTGAGGCGCATTTTAATCGCGAACAATCCATTATCATTTACATCATCATCAGCATCCTTTTCTTTTTGCGCATTCGTTTGAAATTTGTATCGCTTTTTTCTTGGCGCTGTAGCCGCCGTAGTTTCACCAGTCGTTGACATGTTGAACTAAAACGGAATAAAAAAAACACACGCGCAATTTAGAACACAAATAAAATGACAAATATATTTTCTGCACTGTGTAATTTTTAAATGAATTGAATCAATAGGAAGCACTGAATATATGGGGACAAAACTGACACTTGATGTTACCTGATTGAATGTTAAGCGTGAAGTGATTCAAAATCGACAAATTGAGTGATATTAACTCTTTTGAATCCAACATATAAATGCAAACCACACCAACACGGTCCAAAGTTGAATCGAAATATTTGCAGTTTCAGCTTGTGAATGTTTTGTTATTATCAAAACTAAACAAAATCAAACACAAAATTCACCGCAAATATCTCGTTTGAAAACAATCGGTTGACAATAATTCCAATAGAAAACCGCCAACAGCGAAAAATAAACTTCTTTGAAAACAGGAAACAAATATAACATACACTGACACAATCCAAAAATATGTTTTAGCACTTTTATCAATCGAATCCAATGAAATTATGACGATGCAAATTCAAATAAAAAAAACATTGATTCTGACAAGTTTCAACACGATCGTTTCATTTGAACCAACACACTTCTCCACATTCCGATGGTTCTGTGTCGAAAGCATTCTTATACTGCACACATTTTTTGTTTATAAAGCGTTTGAATAAGAATGTATGGTACGGAACTTGTATGGACTGCTTGGTTCAAATCATAAAATGATTTTACAGGCCAAAAAAACAGCTGACACAGCGAACAACACGATTCTGAAAATGCGTTGAATATAAATACTTTCTTTTGTTTATTTATCGAATTCTAAAGAATCGCAACAATATTCTATCAAAGCGAACAGTGTCGATATACGTGCAAACAGCAAAGAGAATTGTACTTCAAATTCTAATCAACTATATTTTCAGATATGTTTTCGTTTCGGGAAGTGCTAAAATCAATCGCTTCGTTATATGAATGCCATTTACTAACATAGAATTTTGCCTTCTTTGAATTAAGAAATACCATTTTTTTATTTGCTGATACGGGAAACACTCTACGGTACATACACATATGATCGGCTGAGAATAAAAGTGACTTTGAGTTTTTTTAAACCGTCTCCATCTTATGTAAATCCTATACAAATTATGAGACACTTTTAAGATTTTTTCTGCTTAAAGTCTCTTTTATTACCAGCCGTACATATGTACGTTCTATCGATCTGTGTAGAGCGCAAATCTTTTGCATCAAAGCGTACGGCGAAATGGATACACTGATGTGTCATCAAATATAAGAGGAAGTCACATTAAAAAAAAATGTGTTCGCTGCCCACTGTTCGTTAAATCGGTGTATATTACTGCTGGCAATCAATTCCAAGAAACATTTATTGTAAACAAATATCCAAGTCAAAACAATGATCATAAAATTTGCTTTCTTATCGCTGTACAATTTATCAATATTTGGTTAATTTGAAAAAATGTGGTTGTTTATGTTGGAGCAAAGCGTTTTCCGTGAAATTCAATTTCTTCGATCAGTTATCAAAGCAAAAGTAAACCAGATTTCGGCTGTAGTTTTCTCATGATATTTCGGCTTAAAATGATTG